GGTGCAGTGAGACATGAGTGGATCTGGTCGACTGAACAAAGGGGAATCACCGGGTGTTCAAGAAAATTAGCCGTCTGAGCCCAAGTTCAGTCATTTTATTGGCCTTTATTTGAAAGTGTAGCGAAGAGAGGGACAAGAATGACCTGCAGCAAAGCGTCATGAGCTGGATTCGAACTCACCACCGCTGCATTGGGGACTTTATCCCTGTATATGCTACGCCAGCTTAACCAAGTGAGCTATCACGGCGCCACTATCAGAGGCGGTTTTAATATAAGTTTGGACTCTTTGTACAACACTAAACATACAGTCGTGCTCAGATGTACTCATCCCCTTTCATTAAAGAAAAGACAAAATTCACAATAATCACTCAAATAAGTAGAAACTGAAAAAAGTAATAATAAATAAAAATTTGCTAAATTATAATTTAGTGAAATAAGACATTGTTTTTGAATTGTGGTTGAAACGAATAATAAAAAAAAATAAAACTGTCCTGGACAAATTAGAGCCCGTTGCTGATGTCAACAGGTGCAGAAGTCTGACTGAGAGTTACAGAAAACACCTGATTGGCTCAAAGGGTTGTTCAACTAAATATTAGTTTACAGGTCCCATCATGCCAGTTTTATTTATTTATTTTTTAATATATATTTCTGTTGAACCACAATTCCAAAAATAATATCATGATTTTCATTACATTTTTATTTATTATTACTTTTGTCAGTTTCAGCTTATTTCTGCTGTTTTTTTCCTTCTTTAATGGAGGCCATGAACACATCTGAGGACGGCTGTGCATGTGTAGCCGAGGCCGTGCTGTAAATTAAGTTGCTTCACCTCCTCTGGTGGAGCAGCTGTGTCAAAGAGTTGGTTAGTGTCGCAGGATTAGCGAGAACCGGTGACTGTACGCAGACCCTCAGGTCAGAGTCGCTGGGGGGACAAAAGGCCGGCCTGGCTCGCCTCCAAGAAACACAAAGACAGACATCTGTGTTTCCCCCAGGAGGCCTGAGGGCATGCGGAGAAACGCTGACTAAAACAGGCCACACCGCCGTTATCGCCTCGAGAACCGCCGGTCCTCGGGCTCAGAAGCTGGCTGAGTGTCGGAGCGTAACTCACTCTGTGTTTTAAGTGAATGTGTTTCAACCCGTCCAGCTGCGCCTGAATGAGTCCTTATATAAAATACAGACGCTCATATGGGATCCATACGCTCCTATAAAGGACGGTTTGCTTGTGAAAGGAGGGGAAACACAACACGGAGCAGAAAGCTTTGGTTGTTTTAAGGAGTTCGACATTGTTGCGTTTTTTTTTTGCTGCTATCACATTCGCTGTGGGCAGCATAAAGATCTCCACCTCTAGAGAAACAGCAGAGACGACTCCAAAATGTCTTATGTGCTGCTTCTCTCCACTATAATGGCCTAAATCATAAAAAAGAAAAAACGAAAGTTGAATTTCCTTCATTATTTGTATTATTTAAAAAATGTAAAATATGGAAATAAAGTCTAAAACAATTTTTGTTGCCCACAAGTGTTAGAAATACAGAGAAAAAAATCATGTTTCCCAGTACCAAAGATATATTTTATTGTTTACAATTTGAATTTGAATTTGTTTCAGCAAAAATCACTGAATTTTTGTGACGCCAGCGTTAGTCGCAGACGAGTCACTGACGGCTTCACGTTTGTCACGAGAAGCACAAAATTTTTTGTTTTTTTTCCAGAATGTGGTTCCTGCAAAGAGTTTGATTTTAGCTAAAACTATTCAAATAGAATCGTAGCATAAAGTGATTCTGATGAACTATAATGTTTGTATGTTCAGATCTGGTGACGTTTTCTGACGAACCTCCAAACGAATCTGTCCAGCAAGTCCTTTTGTTTTTCAGATAAATGGTGCAATTTGCCATTTTTTCCAAATATAGCATTCCCTTAAAAACCGTCGAATGGTTTCAGTTTGAAGCTGGCAGCGACTGTTTCTTCTGCTGTTTTAGGACGACACCAGTTCTCCTTTTGTTTTTGGTTCAGTGGGTCACCCAGTGTATGAAGTGCGTCCATTATTTGACCCACATTTTTCCTGTAATCCCGCCAGACCGATTAACTCTTATCATTAAAAACTGCTTATCAGCCCAACTTGAGCTTGTAATAATAACCAGGAAGTATTTGTTCTTTTGTGTGCCAGTTTTCCTTCATTTGTTAGAAATGAAATGCTACGATTTGTTTTTATCTGACATTTTAATTTGTGTTCATGAGTGTTTGCTGTGCCTCACGTTGTCTTTATTCTCTCCATACATCAGTTTTCCAGGAGCGTCCTAAGCTGCCTCCGACTCAGTCCCAGGCCACAGCGCGCAGCATCCCGCCGGAGCAGTACTCCTACATCGCCTCCATCCGCAGGCTGCTCCGCAACAGGGCCTTCATCCTCCTCATCGTCACTTACGGTTGGTCGTCACAACTCTGCAATTTATGCTCCCATCGTAGTTAGGATTAAATGTTGTTTTGCAGATTGTGTCTTAATGGGAAGTTAGACGTTGTAGATTTTAATCGAGACAGTTCTTCAGAATAAGTACAGTTTGAGACAACCAAAATACTTTGGTTTGAACTTTGGTAAATGAACTGAAAGGTTGTTGTTTTTAATCCAGTGGGACATCAGTCGTCGACTCACCAGGATAGGATCTGTTTCTTTATCACTGAAACGAATTTCCTTCCCTGTGACGTGTAACCAGGTTTATCTTATCCCAGAGTGTCATAAAAGTCCACATCAGTTATTAATATTTCCTCAGTAATGACCGTGAGCGTGTCTAGAAGAAGTTCAAAGTTTGTTTGCAGTCTGACAATCTTTAACAAATGCTGCATGTGACCGACGGCTTACACACTTGATTAAGTCTGGAATGTAAAATTGTTTCTCCAGAAATAAATTAATTATAATAGAAGCTGCAGCCGCTAACTTTAAAAAGAAAACCAGTTTTGTACATATACAGGCTGCAGGTGTCCACGTTGGAACATGAGATATTTACACAGAAAGATGTTTTAAACTTTTAATTAAATACGTACCAGTAACATACACAAATGCTTTTTTCTGAACAGAGCCTGAAACACGGCTGGTTAAGAAAATAAAAAACTCCAGCAGCCTACCAGGAAAAGTCATTGATCGTTATCTTCATCTTCCTCCTGAACACTAAAACCATTAAAGTCTTCAGCCTCAGAATTCCTTCGTCACTTCCTCAGTCTCTCTGTCGTTGTCGCTTCAACGTCACTTTGATCTCGAGGCAAATTCCATCAATCAATGTTGTTTAAGCCGCAGCGTTCAAAGTGTGTGAAAAAAGTCGGGGCTTATATTCTGGACATTACGGTATTTAATCAACAGAAAAGTAATTCAGATCTCCTGTTTTCTAGGTTTAAAATCATTGAATATATTTGACATTTTGCCAAACAAACATGTTAAGACGAAACCTTTCAGTCTGAGAAACTGCACATTTTTCACTATTTTCCAACAATTGATTCCTTTAATTAATTGATTAGGAAACTAATTGACACAGGAAAAGAATCACAGGCTGCAGCTCTTGTTTATTTCCTCCTCTCGCAGTCCGTCAACGGTTTTGTGCGACAGCTGCGAGAGGAGGAAGGAAACCTCTCAGCTTTGACCTTCCTCATAACACTGCATGTGACAAAAGCATGTGACCGGTGTTAGTGTGCATGAACGCGTCCGTACGTCCTTCTGTCAAACGATCCTTCGGCTGCACAGGTCGCTCGAGTCTCGGCTGTACCTGAACATGACGGTCGGCTGCAGCCTCCACCTGTCGCTGCCAGTTGAACCGAGCTGCAGCTGCTCTGCTGCATTTATGCAGCGATATTTAGAAATACAACTCAATAAAAGTCATATTGCCGTTTATTCGTCCTTGTTCTCTTAATCCTTTTTGACCTCGAGCGTTTAAAGCAGCTTTTTTCTGCAGGTGAACGTTCGCTGTGTGGAGTTTAAGTCTCAGTTACTGACTTCCAGCTCAGAGTTTCCCTTTTATAGAAGTCTTTGGTTTGGAGCGACTCTCTGTTTTGGAAAGTTCAGCTGAAAACATTAAAAAAAAAACCTTTGGCTGCTCACATGACAACATTTAATAACTTCAGATAATGACATTAGCTCAAAGCTTCCTGAAAAGCAGCTGACTTTCTCATGTGTTCTGTTTGTATTTCCTACCTGGCAGGTCTGAACGTGGGCTGCTACTACGCCGTCGGGACGCTGCTCAACCGTATGATCATCATGCATTACCCTGTGAGTCCTGCACCTCGAGTCTCCGGATGAACAGCAGACATTCTCGCTGTTTTTTGTTTCTTCTGAGGTTTCCGATTGCAGAAACTTTGCTTCATGTCTTTTGTTTTTTAATATTTCACTTGGAGTAGCCATGACTATTTTACTGAGCTTTAATTGTTAAATATAAAGAAATAATATAACAGTAATAAGTCAGATAAACCCAGCTTTTGTTTTATTAGATTTGTTTTTTTAAACTTTTGAGTATAAAGAAGTTATTTCCCGTGGGGGATGTGATGTTGATGCGACTATAGTTTTAAAATACTAAACAATAAGGATTCTTTTCTCTATTATTATTGCTATTATTTCTCTGTCCTTATTTAATATTTCTAGTATGTTGTATGTGCAGTACTTCCCCGTCCTGTCCTGGTGTAGCTGACGACTGCAGTTTAACAGTACTGCTATTACTACTGCAGGTCGGACTGTGTCCATACAGACCATTACTGTACTAATGTACTGTACTGTACTAATAGCATGCTGTGTGTGATAAGACTGTTTTTATTGCTTTTTAATCGCATTTTAATGGTTTTGTGTATGATATGTGATGTATATGGGTACTGCCCAGTACACTTCCACCTTTGGGACAATAAAAATAAGTATGTCTTATCTTAACTTATTAGGCTGCTGCTAAGATGCTCTATAAATGGTTTTATTCACTGTAGGCTCATTTTTTACTTCAATATAAAGTCCTGCACCTCTATATAAACGGTACAACCATGACTAGTAGTAGATGGAACTCATCCATGTCTTTAGTGAAGCATATTAAAATTATACAAAGAAATACAGCTGAATTTCTCTATTTTTTCATATTTTTTTTAGCAATAATAGAAAAAGTCTAGAACAAATGTGTGCCCACAGGTGTTGTCAATACAGGGAAAAACAATGTGTCTCTACATATTCTAGATATTTTACGACTTGTCTCATCTCTACTCTGTGAAAACAGTTCAGCTGAAATTTCAGATTTTTTTTGTCACGTGACTGTCGGTCACAGCTGAGTCACAAATGACGGAGCAGCTGTGCACAGGTCCTCTTTGTTGTTGTTGTTGTTGTTATTGTTGTTGGGGGGTTAGAATCTGCTAAATGCAAACCACGTATTTTTAGCAACTGTTTTTTTTTTTTAAGGAGATGTAGAGTAAAATGATTTTAATGAACTATCTCGGTTTTATTCTTGGCGGTTGTTGATTTTTCTGTGAAATCACACATGATTGGTTCAGGAACCTTTAGAAGGACTGTTGGAGTAAAAGTTAATTAAACGGCCCATTAATCAAATGTTTTAGCTAAATGCACTGTTAAGGCGATCGCTCACTCCTCTCCTGTCTTCTTCGGCTTTTCAGGGAGAAGAGGTGAACGCCGGGAGGATCGGCCTCACCATCGTCATCGCGGGGATGGTCGGCTCGCTGATCTGTGGGGTTTGGTTGGACAGAACTAAAACATACAAGTAAGGCAAACGTCAAACAGGGAAACGTATTGGAACAGCAGTTTGTCTTTAAGAAGAGCCGTCGGATGCACAGAGGGAGATACAGTTAGTATGTGGAACAAAAAAAAGAACGAACACGAGTGAAGCAGCTACACAAGCGCTCTGCTCCTTCCTGTTTATTGTCATTTCCCTTCTCGACTGGCTGCAGGTCTTGTGCAGTGTTTATGTGTTGGCTTGTGGAGCCTCCCTGTGTGTTTATCCAGGTGCAGCATGCCGCTACGACAGCGACCTCTCCGGCCTTTTGCTGCCGCCTCATGAGCTCTCAGGCTGGGAAGTAACAGCAGTGTCCGTCCAATCAACCCCCCGCTGGTGCAGATTTCTGCACCGTGAGCGGGGGGATGTGGGCGTGTTGGTGGAATACATGCAGATACTCATTCAGCTTCACCTGGTTTTACAGATATTTTATTCACCCTCTTTATATTACCAATCCTACATTAAAGCCACTGACAGCTGACATGAATAATCAGCCATGTTGGTGCAACCCAGTGTTCTGCTGGGAAACCTTGAGTCCTGACATTCATGTGGTTGTTACTGAGGCCTTGTTTAGCAAAAACAGTGATATTTCAGTGGACCTTTGGTTTACATAAAGCTAGAAGTCACCCATCATATCTGAAAACTCTGGCCACAGTGGAGATTTGGAAAAACTCCATCTTTGCATGTAGACGAGAGGAGACGGAGTTTGACATCACAGTGTGCGACAAAAGCGTCATCAGCGTCATACATGTGCGACCATGTTCACAGTTTGGCTACGTCCATATACCTGGACTGACATGTCTACAGTCGATATTTTCAAGTGTTTTACTTGTTTTGTACTCTAACACACGATTATTGTTGAAGTAACAGGAAGTAATTGTGTTTTTTCCAGGATTCTGATTGGCTAGCATGGCTTTATGCTTAGCGTTACACTGCCCCCTACAGGTTTGGCAGCTCATAGCAGCTCTTAACAACGTGTTTATGTGGATTAGATTTTTTTGAAAACGATCTGGTGTGAACGATGTTATTTTTAGTAGATCCATTTCTGTAAATACCCGGCTCCATGTACACGTGGCCTCAGACACATACCTATCTATGAGGTGCATACATATTTCAAAAAGTTCTCTGCCTCACCAGAAAAAGTCACAGGAGAAATACTTTCCAACATAGTCTCCTTAGTACTTCACCAATGTTCTGGCTTTGCTATCCCTTCATGGAAGCTTCTAGATACTCCTCAGCAGCAGGGGTTACTTCATTACCGCTCTGAAAATGGCGACCGCACAATCGGGGTTTTAGTTTGGGAGACAGAAGTCAGACGGTGCAGGTTGAGTGTTCATGAAGCTGTGTGGACGCACTGTTCTGGAGCAACGGCACTCCAGCATGAAGCTTTCCTCCCCTTTTTTCTTTGATTGCTTCAAACATTTGACTTTTTGTGGACAGCGAATGTGTCCTAGTTCACAGTTATGCCTCAAAATGGGAGTTACGCACCTTGTTTCTGGGTGAGGCAGAAAACTTTATGACTCAAACATTATTGTTTCCTTCTAATCCCATCGACATTAACAGATGGCAGCAACCTTCCCCAGAGGGACAATACACGCCCTGCCACACCCCAAAAACTGCTTGGCTTGAAAAACATGACAAAGAGCCCAAGGTGTTGACCCAACATCCAAACTTACCAGATCCCAATCTGATCCGACAATCTGTGAATCCTTTCTGTGCCTGATCTATGAGGGCTCCACCTGAACTCAACCTTAGGATCCACTGCCAACATCCCAGAGGTCCCGAGTCCGTCCCCAAAAGTTAAAGCTTTTATAGAAACAAACAAACAAGACTGACATACAGTTTTAGGGACGGTGGTTAAAATGTTGTGACTGACTGGTCTATGTTGAGTTTTTTGAAATTAGAAAAGTAGAACCGTTGACTCTAAACATGTGACGACAGTTTCAGTCGTCTTATGGTCACCGTAGGTAGTCTTTATATGAAGAGGTTTGATCAAAAAGTTCCAGGACTGTGCATGGTGCAGTTAACACCAAGAGATGGAAACTCTGGAATGGCTTCCAATATTTAAAACCAGAGCAGACACATCAGGTCAGGAGAGTTTTCTTCTGGTCGTGCATCAGGAATCAGTCTCCCAGAGTCAGACGGCCAACATAGAGTCCTACTGTAACGTCCTGAGGAGTCTGAGGGAGAACAAGCTGCATCTACGACCTGAACTGTGGCGTGGTAGCTTGTGAGTGCTTCAGTGTTCTGTCCTGATCACAACGCGGCCATTGTGCGCTGGTTTCTTGGACACAACCACCCACCGCACTCACCAGATTTGGTTCTCAGTGACTTCTTCCTCTCTCCTCAAATGAAATTCAAGCTGAGGTTTTAGCATTTTGACACAGTTTCTAAGAGTCAGCGCTCTTCACAGATGGTGCTCGACATATTGTATAAAAGTGTGAGTAACGCAGGTCCTGCTGTTGATACCTCGTTGTCACGTGACAGCCTGACTCACTGCTTGCTCATCTTGCATGTGCCCACAGTCCTAGGACTTTTTGATCCACCCAGGTATGAAATTATGAAATGTTTCTGTGAATGTCCGGCATGATTTCCCTCCAAACGTCACGTGATATTAATTCATCAAATGCTGGCACTAAATGACTGCTTTTAGCTGTGAGGCTACTGTGGTCTGCTTCCGACTGTACGAGTTCATCCACACAAACTGGAAATGCATCAGTGTTTCATGATGAAGGTTACAGGGCTGCGTGTTTCCTCTGTGTGTTTCCAGGCAGACGACCTTCGCCGTCTACTTAATGTCTCTGGTGGGGATGATCATCTACGCTGCCACACTCAGTCTGGGACACCTCTGGGTGGTCTTCATCACGGCTGGAGCTCTCGGGTATGTTTCCATTTATTCAGTTTGCTTTAATGTGCTCATGTGTGTGAAACTACATTCAGAATTCAACGTGCAGTTATGTCAGTCTATGGACAGATAAACAAACCCCCCAGAATTAAAAATTTAGACCAAAATAAAGGCAAGCATGGAGTAAAAGAGTGGTGGAACATGGATGCTTCCACACAGGTGCACTGCATCGTACATTTAAGCAATTAACACCCAGTTATGCGCTGTGACAGGCATAAAAATGCTGATTATCCATGAATGTAAGGCGGACTGCAAGGAAGCGCAGTTGGTAGCACTGTTGCCTCGCAGATAGAAGGTCGCCGGTGAGGAACCTGGGATCTTTCTGCGTGGAGTCTCCATGTTCTCCCCGTGCAGCGTGGGTTCTCTCCGGGTTCTCCGGCTTCCTCCCACAGTCCAGAAACATGCTGAGGTTAATTGGTGATTGTAAATTGTCCGTAGGTGTGAATGTGAGTGTGCTTGGTTGTCTGTCTCTAAGTGTAGCCCTGTGATAGACTGGTTACCTGTCCAGGTGAACCTGCCTTCGCCCTGAGTCAGCTGGGATAGACTCCAGCCCCCCATGACCCTAGTGAGGATTAAGGTGGATAGATAATGGATGGATGGATGGATGTCTCAGGTAGACGATGGAACGGTGGGTTTTCTGAAGGTTTGTGAAGATGGAATTATCTGTTTTTGCAAATGAACTCTTCAGATGTATAATTAACCCTATGACCCCCCGAGCAGTTCCTTTTTTTTCTTACTCCTGTCACATTTTTACTCACTGTGGACTCTTTTTTTTTTACTGCGATATCCCCTCAGAGATGAAATCAGCAGTAAGTTGTTCTGTGTGATTTCCGAATGGTTTGATGAAAATTATGCAAGCTAAGGCCTTCACAGTCACCAGGTTTGAACACCCCTGAGATATTTTAGGCCAATGTGTTCGACACATTCCCTCCAAATATGGGAATATCTTTTGAAAGAACGGTGTTTATCCATCCAGTAAAGAGAATCAATGCCAAGGTGCAGTGAAGCTGTTCTGTCAGCATGGCGGCCCACTTTCCTTTATTATGTTTTCCTTTAATATCCTACTTGTCTGTACATTTATGACCAAATCGCCTATAAAACTAGCCAAGCAAGCTTAAGTAGTAGCAGTAATATTACATTTTAAGCTCGAACTGTATTCAGAGGCTGTTTTTTTAAATGAAAAAGAATCAACAATGGAGACTTTGTCAGCAGTAAATACTTCTGTTATGCCTGGAGTCCTGCTTTGTTCCTGTGAACTTTACTGTTGACATTTGCAATAATAATTTACAGCCATGTACATCTCAACTTTAGGCTTGATAGGCGTGTGTACATTGACCCTGCACTGAGCAGGACCCAGATATGCGTTCGTACACTCTGACCCAGTATTGAAAACTATTCAGGATATATAGAGCAACGGTAATGCAAGCCTCCTGTTGCAGGGGGAAGAAAAAACGTATGGATAGAGGCCACAGTTATGTGGAATCATCTCAGTTAATTTAATCTAACTTAATTAAATTTATTCCACCGGGACAATCCGCTCGCTGTCATTACTGCTTCCCAGTGGTTCACAATGTATGTTTAAAGGAACCAATGAAATAACTCAGACAAGCATCTCGGTGATCATGTCGAAGGAAAAGCTGTATTAAATTACACAGTTAAAATCTTTATGGGGGGAAATGATCACAAGGCTGCCTCTCTGTTCTTCTCGGATGAAAACCAGTTTTTACCTTTATGTGGCTGCTTTGAAAGCGTTCCACCTCTTCAGTAGCACAGATTGGTCTTCCAGATTGGAGAGCACACCTACATAATATACCATACATGTTGGCCAGACACCGTGCAAGAGTCATGTGATTGCTTTAGCTTGTGCACAACCAAAATTATTTCAATTTCTGGCCTCTTTTCTCTGAATGTGTAAAGAAAACCCAACAGCATGCAACACCTTCCTGTCTGCTGCTTTGTGTTGTTGTTATCAAAGCGTGGTTACAGGCAGAAGAAAAGAAATGTGCCTGGAAATCCAGTTTGCACTGACTGATGTGTTTCACTGCTGCTGCTGCCATGTCAGAACCTCCCGACCGAGTTTCACTTGTTGTCACTTCAGTGGAAAGAAAACATCCGGCTATTGAATGAGAACAAGTGTTTGATGTCATTGGACTGCTTTCAAAACCCGTCGTTCCTGCACAACCTCCCAGAAGTCATGCAGATCTGGGCGGTAGTCTTGAATTCCTGGATAAACGGTGACATTTAGTAGGTACAAAGTGTGCATCAGCCTGTGAGATAATATGATGAGGGAGAGGCATTACAGGGCACAGCCGATGTCCTTCAATGTTTTACATGTGAAAGATATCGCGATTGCCTTGAGATACGATATGATTAACGCCGACGGTTTCTGTGCTCTCGTGTGTGTTTTCCAGGTTCTTCATGACGGGCTACCTGCCTCTGGGCTTTGAATTCGCAGTGGAGCTGACGTACCCGGAGTCGGAGGGAACCTCCTCTGGACTCCTCAACTGTTCGGCGCAGGTACAGCCGCGGGTTTTATTGGATGCAGCCCTCGTAAAAGCAGAGGTTTACAAAGTGCTTTGACAGACAAAGCAGAAGGAGCAGTGGAGGAAACGAAGGCAGCATAAAAGCTTAATGAGCAATAAAAAGACGACATTACATGAAAGCAAGTCTGTAAAAATGGGCTTTAAGAAGTGATTTAAAAGAAGCCAGAGCTGGGGATCCCTGATGGCACGATCACATTTAGATTTATAAATCATCCTGACCCAAGCATTCCTCCTATAGGCTTATTATTATTCTGTTTTTATACTGTACTAAGACTTTTTAATACTCTTGTAAACACCAGCAGTTTTGCACCTTATCTGCATGTTACTGCACAGTGTTTTGCACATTAGCTTCCTTATTTTTCCTAAATGTAACATGCATGAGCCACTGGACACCTTAAATTCCCTCAAGGGGACGAATAAAGCATCTGTCTACCTCCATCTACCTAGTTTTAAAAGTGATCAATACACGTTTAAAGTCAATTCTTTAAACAAAACAGCACAAAAAGAGAGAAGTCAGGATTGTGGTGGTGAAAGGGACGTTTGGTTTAAAGCAGAAACGACAGAGTTCCAGTAGTCTGCAGCAAATAAGAGCATGAATGACAGTAACAGTCTGCAAAAGCACTTGAATGCAGCACTCTGTAGTTCCTCTCAGGCCTGAGCTGCTGAATTTTAGACAGTACTTGTTTTGCATCTGTCTTTTGTTGGGATCGTGTGCGATGCGACTCTTCATGTTCCACAGGTGTTTGGCATTATCTTCACCATCTGCCAGGGGAAGATCATCGACAGCTTCGGCACGCTGGCGGGAAACATCTTCTTGTGTGTCTTTCTTCTAATAGGCACAATAATGACAGGTACGAGCATTTTTCTGAATTATACTGCCATGACTCATAACCGACTTCTGATTTCAAGCTGCACATGCAAACATGTAGAAGAACCGTCTTTGTCTTTGACTGTTTCTGTCGTGAGTTTACTAAAGCTCCTGCAGAGAAATGCTAAATTCCAAGAATGCAGATTATAGTTACTGAGTAATTTGAAGGAGTGCTTCAAGGTTGAATAGAAGGTTTGTTTTTGTATTGTACTTTCTTCACATCCTTACAGGAAGGCTCGGAGCAGCTCAGGTCAAAGTCTTTATTTTCCTTAAAGGGGGGGAAAAAAACAATGTGACCACAGGTATTGTTTGGTTGCATTCTTACTACTCCTCACTCAGAAGTGCATGTTTCCCATTAGGAAAAAAGCACTAAGCAGACATTTTCTAGAGAAAACAACAACAACAACAGAGGAGCAGTAAACATTTTGTTGACCATTAAGTGAGTCATGGAAACTTTCGTGCCACCCAGAGGCGGCTGCACGGCTCACATACGGCGTTTTCAGGCAGTGAAGGTGGGACTTCACGCCTCAGTCAGTACGAAGACACTTTGCACGGCCCATTGAGGGGTTTATGAACAATGAATAACTTTTTAAAAATGCATTAGCCACTGAAGTGCTCAACTTTGTGCTCACTAAAAGAACACACCAAAACCCTTTAATGAGACTCCTCTGCTCCCAAAGGTCAGCACACTGACTCACTGTCGTTTGAAACTTACTCATAATTCAGATATATGAGTGGACTTCTTGGTAATCATGCCAGTTTTCAGAAGAAAGAGAAAGCTTCTGTGATAAAAGAAAGAACCTCCCACTTCTGTGATTTGTATTCGAAATTCTCAGCACAAAGGTCACCAAAACGCACAATGTTTGCTCTCTGTAATATATATCGTTTGTTGTGAAATGTTCTCCATGCCAGAATTATCTTTATTTATGTAGCACCATCATGCAAACCATAATTTAAAAAAAGCAAGTACTAAATGTTTAATTCAAATGAACAATTAGAAAACACACAAACATTACAACAACAAGAATATGACAAGAACAGGAGAGATGTTGCTGCTAAATATCCTCAGCAGGCTATTCCAGAGCCTTGGAGCTGCCTCCTTCAGAAGCTCCCTCTTAGATTTAGAGGATCCTTGTGTGAGGATTTTAAAATGAAACTTGGGCTGCACAAGGCTGATCTGAAATATACTGAGAGGTCAGACCATGTCGAAGCTTAAAACTGATTCTAAAACATCCTGTAAGCCGGCGTAAAGAGGCTAAAACCTGAATAATGTGGTCAAACCTATTTCCTCTGGTTAAGAGTTCTGCTCTGTCTGCAGCCGGTTTGCAGTTTTATCATAAGGTTGAAAGGAAACTGAAGTTGCAATAATGGCATAAAAGCATCTGTGTCTTTAAAATCTGGACAGCAGTGGTGGAGACAAAAGTTAATTTTTAAATTGAAATCAAGCGACCGTAATAGTTGTGTTTGACCTGAGTTAGTCATATTGTGTTGTGTTTAGATTTGTTACCACACAGAGTCTTTGGAAATATTTACCAAGTTGTCTGGTGGGGTCACTGTCATGTGTCTGTGTAGAGGAGCCCCCTACTGGACGCTCGCCGTTATTGCACTATACAGTCCAACCACACAGTTCTGAATAACTTTTAGGGTTCTTTATAGAATTACAATATTGTTTTTTATGCTTCTTTGTTTTTGCATCAATATCTCACCCACTCTGTGTCCTTATTTCCCTGCAGGTTTAATCAAATCCGATCTACGGAGGCAACATGCAAACCAGCGGGTCAAAGAAGCCGTAAGTGTTGAAGCAGTCTGAGGATGAGGATGTATGTGTAGATACAGAATAACAGTGGTGGTGCTAGTATGAAGGGAAATAGGCACATTTTGACATGTCACAGTATGAAAAGCACGGGTGCAAATACATAAAAATAAGAACGATGTCTTGAACAGAACGGTGTCGTCGCCGTAATGTTGCATCACCTGTGCTTGTCCTGAAAACTAAAAACGTCTGCTCTGAAAAGCGACCCGTGTGTTGGACGGTTATAAATTTGCACATGCGGTCAGTCACACGTGGATCTCGTGCTGCTCCACAAATAACCCACTCCGTGCTCCCTATTGTGTCTATTTTTGCGGTCAGCCTGAACGTTTGCATCGACTTCACACACTAATGTTGTTGAATATGGAGATATTTTCACCTGCGTCAGGTGTCCACATGTCGTAAAACAGAGTAAAAGATTGCATTTGGGGAAACAGTTTCATAAGGAGACCTATGAAGGTTTTAAATAATATAAAACGCATGAATGTTTAGGACAGTTTGAACCAACCTACACGTGTCTAAAACCCTTTTTGAATGAATGCTATCAGCAGTAAGTGATTCATTGTTGTGATTTTCTCTGTTCTTAGCTCATCCTGCCAGAATACTTTTTTTTTTCTGTTTCTGGGTGGGTCTCCAAGCTCTGTGATGAAGTTAATGATGGGTATGAACAGTCAAACACCTCACGTCGAATATATTCACTATTCTAAATATGCCCCAACAGTTTAAATCAATCGTTTGACATTTTGAGAAATGCACTTCCTGTTAGGGCATCATATGAGACGATGTCTTATTTCCTCATATCGCTATTTAAAATAACGCAAATAAGTCAATGTCCCCACAAAATGTTGAACTGTTTTTTCAGTCAGAACATCCTCGCTGGGTTTGTTCTGACCCTAAAGGAATCATTTAAGGGACTTCAATCACTCATAAAATATAAAAGAGGAAACTCAAGTAAGATTTCAGTGGTGGGAATTAAAAATCTACCTGACAGATCAGATCCTGTTGAACTTCATCTCAGACTGGAGCCTCACACCTCTATGAACTCCGAATGAGAAGTGATCAGTAGGTGTTGTTTTAGGCGGAGCGGCAGAAGCTGGGACAAGACTACGGAGCCACAACGCTAATCTCCCAGCAGCAGACTCTTCCTTCTCAAGCCTGATCAATGCACTTTTCTGCTTCCACAACAACAACAACAACAACAAAAAAAGCACAAAAAAAAAATCTCCTCAAATCTTAGCTCAACACACAGATGCACAAAGGTAGGAGCACTGAGCAATCAGCACACACTGTCAGTGATCACCACACCTGCTGCACATCCTTTCACCTGCCTGTCCTGTCTCCTCCTTGTTCCTCCAGATCACGCTCAATATCATTCACACAATCATGGAAATGGTAATTCTGTCACTGAGGCGATTTCTG